GGGCAAATATTTCTTCACCATATTAACAGAAAGCGATGGTTATATTGTTTTTAGTTCTAAAGTCGCTTATACCTTTTTTAAAGTTTAAATATAATATTACAAATGAGCTAAAAGTTCAGCAAATGGCTAAGGCTACTGCAGTCTATGGACTCGTCGATTAATTTGTTAATAAAAATCTATGGTATCCATCACGTAAGTTCTATATATAAACTGGAAATAAATTCATGATAAAAGTTGTTCGCAATGGACTGCGTTTAATGGGCCTAGTGTGATTCCTCACTAAGCCATATTAAACACGAGTTTCTTAACCTAGACTATTTTCATAGAAGCGCTCGGCTGTAAGGCCGCGTTCTTGATGACTCACATCGTAATGTCAAGATCCGCATCAAGGCGAGATTGGCAAAAAACGGGGGCGCGATAGTTTGCCCGATTAGGGCCACCACGAAGCTACCGAAACGAAACTAGAGGTATTGCGATTGTAATTTACGATAATGCATCGTTTTGGCTACCATAATAGCGTGAAGCGACACACATATTATGTATGCAAGGTAATTACTGCAAAGTCAGTCGTCACTCCACTGGCACCGAGGTTAGTTGTGGTCCATTGTAATCAGCTCTGTCTTTAATTAGACCTCTCTACAACTGTGTGATCTTTATTCGAGTTTTAGTAAATGTGAGACTGAGAAATCAAAAGAATCCGCTCTCTTTTTTATGTTCTATGAGTGGACTACAACAACATAATATGGTATAATAGTAGTAACAATCTAAACGCTTAACAATCTAATTTCTTATTTTTATAATAGTGGGATCTTTTTGTGGTATTCTCGTCTGGTTGGGACATGTATCTATATATATATATATATATATATATATATATATATATATATATATATATATATATATATATATATATATATATAATATATGTTAAATATAATACTATTATAAAATAAATATATAAAAACCCCACCACCGTTTGGTGCCCTCGGCAGGGGAGCCCAAACGGCCGAGACAGCGTACTATGCGAGCGGTACCGAGGAGCACCACCTTCTGCTTTTGAGCCTGGATAGCTTTATTATAATTGTTATTATAATAGCAATTCACACCTAACATTATCAAAATTCGTCTTATATACTTTTATGGTAAGCGCATGTTTTGATGATTTGTTGTCTTTAGATAACTTAATATCAATATTAAAATTAGTGTTAATAGAGGTACTTGGATGATCAAAAGTTGGTGGGTAATTCAAATCTTGACAGATGATTTCGCATCTCTCAAATTTAGACGAGTTTTCTTACTATTACGCTTCGTATTTGCGAGTAAGGGGAGGCTCCAAATACCCTCGTGGAATTTTCTGTCGCTATATATATTTTTTATAGATTTTAAAACATATTTTTAAATTATTTTATGCCAACTGTTAAAATTTTCTGGCATTCTGGCCTAGCCCTAAAACATGTAAAGGACCGAACAAAGTACCACGGAATGAATCATTCTTGTTTTTCAATGCTTCTATAATACTGATGTATTGATCTTTACATAAAATCGCCAAAGTAATGTTGATGTATACAGTATACAGACATTATTGCGCTTGAATTAAAAGAAACGCATTATTCCATTGTGCGGTGAGAATGGAATAGAATAGAATAATTTTTACATAATACTTATTGAAAATATTTTTTTTTATTTACCACTGGTTCAGAAAATACCTTTGTCCTGGGAATAACCAGCAAGAATCCAAGCGGGATTATATTTTCTTAGACAACTTAATAATAATTTTGTACAATTTTATATAAATCATAATAGAACAAGCATGGTAGTGATTTAGGTGATGAGTACATGGTGAACCAATGCACCGGACAAATCCGTCTTACGGTATTCAGGCTAATGTCGGGTTGTGCAACGATCCGATTTTCTATGTCAAACGCAATTGCGAGTGTCAAGGGATAAATTAAACTTAGTACAATCTTTATCATATTAATATATTTTCACCGAATTGATAATGTGGAATAAATTCTGCAGCTCTATTATGGTTGTAGCACGAATGGGTCGGCTCTACCGGGAAGGACCACGGTCTCACAGAATACCAGCGTAAAATAGCGGCTTGATGCTGCCGTGTTTCGTATGGCGAGTTTTGAGAATCGGACTCTTTTTACTAGAAACGAGCCATTTTTTTAAGTTTCACCTTTTACGACGTTTATAATGTTTAAAGAGCTTTGTATTTGAAATTAGCGGGAAGTTACAGAGATGGCCAGTAGGGTAAACCGTATTTTATTATAGATTAAGGTGACAAACGAGCACACAGTCCACCTGATGGTAAGTGGATGCTGTGGCCCATAAACATCTACATGTATCCTCAATTACACTTGCTTACTTCTTGATACTAACAGCAGTACATCCTCTGCTTTGTTTTGGTTTTGGTTTAAATTGCAGTCTATAAGACTTTTGATCTGAGTCCTGATGGTGACACTATGTCTGTGGTATCCTTTGTTTAAAGTTTATTGTATGTTCAACATCGGGTAGGCTGACAGCTCTTATGTCACTATAAAAGATAACAATTCTTAGCTAATAACTTCATAATATGGATACTGCTGGCTCAGGTGAGTTAAGTGCTTGCTTGTGATCGCCGTCCGCCGGCATCAATGAAATTGATAGTTGATATTTATTGCTAATTAAAAACATCACAATCTATTTCGTGGTTCATATAAATGTCAGCTACATATATAATAAAGTTTGTCTATGTCGTACCTGTGGGCTGTGGCAATTTTTTTTTAAATTATGAGCAGCTATGCAGGTCTAGGAAAAGAGACCAGTAACACTGCGACCTAAAAGATCTATTGTGATCGCTGCCATGGCTTTAGTTTATTGCTAAGCCCTATGTCTGCAATTAATAGAAGAAGCGGAGTACATAGTTTCCCAGATGAGTGTTACGTTTTCATATTAAGGGTCCGTAATCAGTTAGAATGTGCAGAAACGTTTCTTCCGTTGTGGAAGAAGGGCTGTGGCCGTACGAATACAAAGTAAAATATTTTGCATAACAATTAAATAATTTATGGAGTATATAATTATAAATGGATAAAGTTTGAATGCAAAGTCAACAAAACATGCGAGTCTCATCATCATCATCATCATTACAGCCCTTCACAAGTCCACTGCTGAACATAGGCCTCCCCCAAGGTATGCCACAAATCACGGTCCTGAGCCACCTGTATCCATCGACTTCCTGCATGTCTTACCAGGTCGTTACTCCATCTAGTGGGGGGGCCTACACACACATCGCCCTACACTTCGCCTACCCGTACGAGGCTGCCACTCAAGAACCCTTCTTCCCCAACGGTTGTCGGTTTTTCGGGCTATATGGCCGGTATGTACCTATATGCCGAGTCTCATAAATAATAAATATTTTAAAGATATGTGAAACCATTTTAATAGATGGTAATTTCCCTTTTCTGTTCGGAGTTGGTCTGGGTAGGTACTAGGTACCATCCACTTACCTTTAACTGCCGCTAAATAGCAGTGCACGCACAGCTATTTAACATACCGATTTTGGCAAATTCCGTACTGGCGATTAGTGAAAAGGTTACTTAATTATGTATTTATTTAGGGCCTTCTACCACAAGTATCTTTATACTTAAAAGAAGTCCTCAAACTCGTACTAATTTTAAGAAAATGTTGGAAACAATAAACTTTCATTTCATTTAATTTCATTATATGCCATGAAGTAGGTGCTAAATATACGCTCCATAATGTAACATATGGGGGGGTAAGTGAAATTGAGCGATATTTGGTGGAGTCAATACGGTTGCCTGTTTTCGGAACAGGCTGCACATTGGCTAGCTTCCAAGATTTGGGCACTATTCCAGTTCTAAATGAGAGGCGGAACAATAAAACAGAAAACAACTCGCCTTGAAGGCACCCGGGTTGTAATCGTATGAAAAGATATGCTGGTTAATTATCCCACTCCATTACACGCACACATACGTGCAGCATTACGAATGACAAAGTAAACCGATTGGTTTGAAATCGACAACGAAGGGATAAAAACTGGCCAAGCTTCCGATTGTACGATGATGGGAGAGAGATGGAAGAATTAAGTCAAGTAATTCCTGCGTATAATCCGAAATGTATCCTAAAAACCTGTGATCGTGATTATGCCCGAAGGTCAGTTTTGGCCGAATTCTTGGCTTTCGCTGTACGGGCGAAGCCGGAGGTTTCAATATGCTTTGAAATTTGTTCCAGTTAAATCCGTAGTATTATTTTTGACCAAAAATTATTATGTATATAAAAAATAAATGTTTAAGAAATAATTTGATTTAGTATAGGACTGATATAAAAAAAAACATTAACCTAAGAGGATGGATTTTTTAACTGCCAACCTAATATTTAGCAATAAAATAAAATAATATGATTTCGTCAGTCTTGGTACACAATAATAATTACAAAACTCTGTAACGTGTTCACATGTGAACACTAGATACATAATTTATAATATGTTGTCTGGTATAAAGTACTGGCGTCCTAAACGCGCAGTGTGCGGCTATGCTTATGTCATTCAAAAAGTTTATGTATAAGGCCGTTCAATTAAATATTCGGTTGCGGCTAAACCTTCGCTTGAATTTGGCCGAAGGATAAATATATTTAACAGCTAGTAATTTAGAAAAACCTAAACAGATGTTATAAAGTAATACAATATTACACTTTTTCAAAAACTATATGTCGGTTAATTATTCTCATGTTATGATACTGACTGTCCATTACCTGTATTTGGTATTTAGACCTAGTTTGTCAAATGGGTTAACCTCCATTAACAATGTAATAAGAAATAGGATTAAGAAATTTAAAAAAAAAACATTAAAAAGGTGGAAAAGGAGAAGGATTGGGAAGACTTGGTGATTTCGACGCGCGTGTAATCAGTTTTAACATGCAACAAGTAATCAGGTTTAACATGCATCATGTAACTTTCTCATTATAAATACGATATTGATAATTTCACTTGCCTACAGGTGGGGTCGGGACGGTGCAGCTCGCCGGGCACGGGTCCTCTGTCTCCGGCGGATGGACCGCGCTGGCCTCACCCACATCACTCTCACCCATTGCATCACGCATTGCTGTCGTCAAGCGTCAAGCGAGGCAAAGAGATGTGAGTATAGTTTGTGACACGCCCCCGAAAGGTTTACTTACAAAGAACACTAAATAGTGTTCTCCAGACCGATTTTCGGTCACGACTGTCGCCTCTACGGAGACAAGCCATCTGCGCGGTACAGGATTATAGTGCTGAAGTGTATGCGCAAGCGCAGGTGTGCTCACTATTCCCTCACTCTTATAGTCCGATGTCACGGTACGCTGACACGACCGGAGTGAGATCAAACACAGGACCAACAGCTCCACGTGCTTTCCGAAGGGCAGCTACTGAGTTCTTGACAGAAGAATTCAATATTAATGTTTTTTTTGACCTGACCCGGGATTCAGACCCGGAACCTCCAGTCGGGTTTACGACTGGTGATCATGAGATCCTTAAGAACACTGCCAAAGTTTGTAGGCACGCGTTTATATTCAAGAAAGAATTCTCAATAAAGTAACTCAAACTTAATTAAAGATTTTACTTAACTCTAAATAAAGTTCTGTTTACACTCTATTGAAAACTGTGGTTCTATTTGTAAAAAAAGTGCTGGGGGGAAAAAAGCTTATGAAACAAAACTCAACAACTTACGAAAGGCTTAAAGTTTTTGTTTTAAGTTTATTAAATTGCCGTACGTAAAGTTTGATTAACAGTATTTATATGGGTTTCGTAACTTCGCAATATAAAAAACACGGATCGTTACGAACGAAAGGTTTCTGTGTATGTCTATACTGTCGCGTAATGACATAATGCCGTGTCGGTACTACACTTTGCAGTGGCGGTGTAGGAATATACACTACCCAGTATCACCCCGTGGGTGTCGTGAGAGGCGACAGAGGGAAGCAAGGATATGGGCAGCAGCATTTTCCTGACTACGACTCATAATAATGAAAAAACAGCTATCAACCTGCGGCGCCTATCAAGCGTGGCAACTATGGCAAATATCCCCCCCCTATGAGGCAATCTATTGGGAAGGCCTACGTTCAGCTGTGGACTGTGGCTGTGCCGATGATGATAAAGTTTTATAACTTGTCAAAATGTACCTTAATCATCATCATCATCATCATCACAGCCCTTCATAAGTCCACTGCTGAACATAGGCCTCCCCCAAGTAATGCCACAAAGCACGGTCCTGAGCCACCTGCATCCATCGACTTCCTGCATATCCTACCAGGTCGTCACTCCATCTAGTGGGGGGTCGCCCTACACTACGCCTACCGGTACGAGGCTGCCACTCGAGAACCTTTCTTCCCCATCGGTTATCGGTTCTTCGAGCTATATGGCCGGCCCATTGCCACTTCAGCTTACTAATACGTTGGGCTATGTCGGTCAATCTGGTTTTACTGCGGATATCCTCATTTCTGAGTCTATCACGCAGAGAAACTCCGAGCATAGCCCTCTCCATAGCTCGCTGAGCGACCTTGAGCGTCCTCATACGGCCAGCAGTGAAGGACCACGTCTCTGATCCGTAAGTCATCACTGGCAACACGCACTGGTTGTACACTTTAGTTTTCAGAGATTGAGGTATACCTGACGAGAAGATATGTCGTAATTTCCCGAACGCTGCCCAGCCGAGTTGAATCCGTCGATTGACCTCTCGGTCGAAGTTGGACTTACCTAGTCGGAATATTTGTCCCAGGTAAACGTACTCGTCAACAACTTCGAGCATAGTGCTCCCAACAACTACCGGCATAGGTGTGACATGGACATTAAACATAATCTTTGTTTTGTCCATGTTCATCTTAAGACCTATCCGTTGGGAGGCACTATTGAGGTCATTGAGCATAGTGCTTAAGTCCTCCAGCGATTCTGCCATAAGGACTATATCGTCGGCAAATCGAAGGTGAGTGATGTACTCGCCATTGATGTTAATACCGTATCCTTTCCAGTCCAGTAGCTTGAAAACGTCTTCCAAAGCAGCGGTGAAGAGTTTCGGGGATATAACGTCACCCTGTCTTACACCTCTCTGCAGTTGGATAGGTTTCGAGCTCTGGTTCTGTACTCGGATAGCCATCGTAGCCCTACTGTACAAACACTTCAGCACTTCGATATACCGACAGTCAACTTGGCACCGCTGAAGGGACTGCAGCACCGCCCAAATTTCGACGGAATCAAAGGCTTTCTCATAGTCCACATACGCCAAGCAAAGTGGCAAATTGTACTCTTCAGTCTTCTGTACAATCTGCCGCAGGGTATGTATGTGGTCTATGGTACTGAAGCCTTTTCGGAAACCGGCTTGTTCGGGAGGCTGGAAGTCGTCGAGTCTGCGTGCGAGACGATTCGTAATGACTCTCGAAAACAGCACGTAGACGCGGCTCAGAAGGGAAATCGGTCTGTAGTTCTTCAAGAGAGCGTTGTCGCCTTTCTTAAAGAACAAGACCACCGCACTTCTGCTCCACGCCTCTGGAGTAGTGCCACCATGGAGTACCTTAATAACATTATTTACACATTTGTTTTTTTATATTTGAAATCGTGTTGAGGGTATATTTAAAAAGAAACTACCTACAGCTACAATTTTCGAAATTAATGAATACGCGTTAGATACTAGTATTTTCAAAAACTGGTATGAGAAAATATAATATTTTTCAGACAAACAAAGAGAGACAGAAAGAACACTTCGTGCCTACATTTCAAGTGACTCCGAAACCATGTTCAACTTATTGTCACGCATCACGCACACATACCCACCAAAATCAAGTTACATGTAAAAATGATAGAAACTTTTGGTTAGAAATTTGTGGTCACTAAAAATTTACGTAGTGTTCTATGTTACTTTCTTGGTCTGGAGATCTGGAAACTCTTTATTAATTTATTGATAATTTATTGGCCAAACATAACTATTATAGATACGAGTGTCAAGCTATACATGGAAGTCTGCTATAATCTACATAAAATTAAAATGTAAGTCACGGTTTAAATATTTTATCTAGGATTTTATAGACCGTGATTTAGATTAAATAATATTCTTCTAGAATATTCGTTTATTAATGTGCATCAGTCTGAAATTTTGGTATTTGATAAATGTGTAGATATTTTGGGCTTGATTCGACGGAGGCCATTAGTCAGTCTAGATAAAATGCTGGATGATACTACACTGAAATTTTCGCATAATCTCCATATGCCACACAAACTACTGATTAAAATACATTAAGATTAGCGTCAGCGTGTGCAGCGAGATAAATTATTAAAAAACATACATTTTATTATGGAAATTATTTTATACTTTTTAGGTTTTTGAAGGCTAGGAAGCAGAGAAGGGTTATTATACTTGGTAGAGCCACACTGCAGTTATATTAGCAGGTTAATACTGCTTTGTTTCGTATGGTGAGTGTAGAGATCCGGATATCCGTTTTTACTGGAAACGAGGCATTCCATCTCAGTCCTCAGGGTTGACAACGCATCTGCGTTTTGATTCTTAATCGAGGATAGATGCAGAGATGTCTACGAGCCACAGCATCCACTTACCATCAGGTGAACTGTATGCTCGTTTGTTACTCTTATTCTATAAAAAGGCGGCTTTTACTTTTAATCAAAAGTTAAATTTTCATTTATGAGTGGACTAACGAACTCAACTATCACAAACTCAAGGTAACAACTAGAATTAAACTACATTCAAAATTTCATCCCAAAGACTTCTGATATACATAGACATCATTGCTCAACCCCTTTTTTTCCGGTTTTAGGAGGGCATTTTTCTAAAAAAATATATGGGTATCCTTGAAGTATAACTAATTTATTAATAAAAACAGATATATAATAGATAATATTGAGTTAAAAATACACAAAAAAAAATACAGTCAAATTGAGAATATATACATATAAGTAGCGGAACGAAAGTTTAGCGGTGACCGTTATTGCGCATAAGTCGAAAATAAGGTATAATGGAGTAAGTATGCGGGTCACGGGGCGGGTGTGTGTGTCGTTTGCACGCGCTGATTGGCCACTGCTACTTGCGTACGGCTACGGCTATTGGCGTACTGACACGAAATGCGCAGCTATCCCCTCCACGTTTCGTTCAGCGCTAGACTTACGTGCCGCGACTTGTAACTCGTCTTTTCTTGAAGTCTGCTAAAAGCACTCGCTCACCAATCAAAGTTTTATTTAAACTCTTTTATTATTGTTTTACTTTTTAAACTATTCTTATAGCTGTAAAATAACGCAATGATTAGAAATATTGATATGTATTAGTAATGACGTGCGCTAGCTTTTTTTTTATTTAGACAAGTCTGTCCAAGGATATTTATTATTGTACAAGTGTCAATTACTAGCACGTTGTAAGACGATGGCCATGATTGTTTTTTTTTTATTTTCATATCTAGTTAGATCCTTAGTTCGTATGGTGTCATGGCTAAAACTAGGTTTGGTCGGTTGCTTTCGAGTAAAACTAGAACTAGAAAAGTCCGAATGATAATTAAAGTAACTGTATTCTGTTGAATTTGTCAAAAATACGAAAGCACGTATCAAGTAGTATCAGCGACCGGTTAAGGTGCGGCTGCAGCGATTAATTTATACATGTATAAATAAATGAAATTGAAGTGTCGATCTGTATTATCGATTAATGATTTTTATTGAGCCAAGGGGTTATTTGCTTGCCATTAAGATATGAATAGCCATTTTAAAATTTTTGTAAGTCTGTCTTTCCGGGCTAATCTTCGAAATGGCTGAACCGGTGGTAATAAAACTGTACGAATAGGTGGAGAACAATGACAGGAATGATCTAGGCTTTATTTTATCCAAAAAAAACTTACAATATTTTTAAGAATGATGATCATCTTAAATTTAAATAAAACATAAATAAATTCTACCCAGGCGAAGCCGGGGTGATCGCTAGTCTAATTTATTCTAACTATTTAACTATTCGGCTAAATAAACCCAGGTAAACAAAGGCCCAATTTACTCTGGCATTTGAACGAAGCACAATCGGCTGTTGCACCTAGGTGTGGCCGGCTAAGCAGGCCGGTTACCCACGTCAGCCTTAACATACGGAATGACCTTTTTTGCCGTAGAAGCCTATGGCACTGATATTTTACAAAAAAGTGAATTAAACGTTAAATTTTTTTTTTTAACAATTACTTTGCCCAGCCTGTGACCCTTCAAAGTGACAAGGTCAAAGATGCCTACCATATTTATTGTTTTATTGCCGTTCGTAAAGTAGACCCTGGATATGATTTGAATTTTGATATATTTTAATTAATTTAATTCAAAATTGTTGTTTTTATTTTTTTGCAAAATATTAGTGCCATAGGTGTGCCATTGTACTGCATTCTACTGCGTTAAAGATTTAGCTCTCATATGTTTTTGTTTTTTTCCATGTCTACTCCCATACAGAAATAAGGATATGTAAGTATTATTTCATTTATTTTTAAATTTTTATCACCCATCAGAAGGTCAGTACTGTGCACGCTCTGTTCACCCATCATCATCATCATCGTTACAGCCACTGCTGATGATGGGCCTCGCCCAGAGAATGTCATAAAGCACGGACCTGAGCCACCTGCATCCGTCGTAATAATTAAACCCCTACTTATTACTCTCTCTTTGTAAAGACCTACTTGTTAATTTAAGCTAAGCGATTTTTAGCTGTAAATGTTGACTTCAACAAGCGACTACTGTACAAATAAGCTACTCGTACTTACGTGTTGGTACTACTCTCCTGCTATATTATTATAATTGCAGCACGATTGAGCGGCAAATTTAGGGAAGAACTACGCTTCCACTCAGTATAATTGTAAAATAGCAGCTTAATGTAGTTGTGTTTCGTGTCGTATGTTGAGTGACGAAAGCTCAGGTCTTAATACTGGTAATAAGGCATTACATATTAGTCCTCAGGGGTGATAAACTGATAACATTTTTATTTTTATTTGACGATAGGTGTAGGTGTCTATGGGCCACAGAATCCACTTACATCATGTAGACTGTATGCTCGTATGCCGAGCGCCCTTAATTATATATAAAACATTTAAAAAAAAACAATACCGGTGATTATTAAATTTTAAATAATATTTTTATCATCTTTCTCAATTTCGGAAACGCTTCGCGTAATAAGCCAACATCCGACTCGCTCCGACGACTTAATCTTTCGCAGATATAATCCGGACACTTCAGGCTTTATGAATAATACACAACTACACGGGCATCTCTGCAAGGTCAAGAGAAAAAACACTTCAGAGATACAATATTACTAAATCTTCGTATATTTGAATATGCTTTTCTTTTTTCTATTAGCGAAGTGTAGCTTCATATTGATAAATTCTTTATTAAAAAATTTAAATTTTAAGAAAAAGTAAATAATCCTATAATAATAATCCTTTCTATTTAGTCAAACACCATGGGCTGCGATAACATCAGCCGCCGTATGATCATTTATATCCTTGACTTGAAACTTTTCCCTAGATTCCGGAGATTTCCCGTCACTGTGGCACATGGTCTACGTTATTCCCTTGCCGACAACGCAGGATCTATATCTGTTCTATTCTTTCTTTCTTTTCCAAAGTACTTGAAGCCTGTGTACATATGCAACTATCTCTGTTTGTTTATTAGAACACTCCAATCTTTACTTTTTACTTTACTTTACGTTCTTTTCAGTATGGCTTCAAGCCCGGTCATAACACTGTTCCCGCTCTTCTTAGGTCACTGGTGATATTAGGGCGGCCATGGAGGACACCAAAGTCACTGTGCTGGCTTTGGTTGACTATTCGAACGCTTTAAATCATCAATCAGTCATGCCAACCTAATTATCTTCGACGACGTCAGCAGTCGGTCCACATTGATTAGTCTGCATCAAGCTGGTGTGACATAAATGCTGGTGTCCCTCAAGGCGGTATTCTGTCACCATTGTTATTTTCAGTATTTATTTATCTTATCACCCACAACCTTCAGTGTGCTTATCATCTATCTGCTAATGACTTACAGTTGTATGCACAAGCGAATGTATTTGTGCCGCGGTGGATATGGTCAAGAGACCTAGAACATATTAAGAGTTGGTCTAACAGATTCGGTTTAACTGTCAATCCATCCAAGTGTCGGGAAATAATGGCCAACTATTGCACAATTAAAAAAATGGACATTTCGGATCTATCCGATCATTTTTAATAGCTCGATTTTGGAATTATGTCCTTCAGTTAAGGATCTTGGCTTAAACAATTGACTCCACTTTGAGTTGGCATGCCCAGAAGATAAATGTTACCCAGAAAATAACTGGTGGTATTCTTCCTCTGATTGATTACGGTGATATGTGTTACTTTGACCTGAATGCAGATCTTCTTTGCAAATACGATCGTCTTCTTAATAACTGCATTCGATTGATTTTCAATCTTCGTAAGTATGACCATGTGCCTACTTATCGTTCCCAACTTAAGAGGTTACTCATTCGTCAGCGACGAAGTAGGCGTGCACCCACAACCCTATACTCCATTTTAATGTCTCCTACTCTATTCTCTTACTTAACCTCTCACTTTCAGTACCTTTGCTCTAGCCATGACAGAAACCTGCGTTTTTCGAATAATCTTCTTCTAAAGTGACCCTTTCATAAATTTGGCTTCCTGCATTCTTCCTTCACTGTACAGTCTGTTCTCCTCTTAAACGCACTTCCTCTTGAAATTAGAACGACTAACAATCGTTACGCATTCAAGAAAGAAGTTCGCGAACGTTATTTAAATAAACTGGCAGTGTAATTTCATTAGTAGTGGTTATGTATTTATATAAATATATGATTATATAACGTAAGTAATTTATTTAATTTATATGTACATAATTTATATTATATAATATTATGTATGTATTAATTATTATTTAATATGTAAGTTTGGTTTGGAAAAAATTCTAAATTTGAGATTAAATACTAGCCTGGAATCAAGCCACTTTACGAGTATCTATCAAATTTGGTGGTATTGGTGTAAGAAACATTTCTAGCGTCGCATTGCCTGCTTTCTTTGCTTCCGTGCATAGTGTCAATGATTTATGTAACATAATTTTAAATAATAAAGTAGACCTGTGCTTTGCTGCGGATGCAAGGCAAACATGGCTAACGCTCTGTACCGGCGAAAATGTCCCACTGGAAGTTAACCAACAAAAACAGTGGGATTTTCCGTTGGTACGGAGTGTCCAGAAAAATTTATTTCAAAATTTCCACAGTCAACAAGATCAGGCTCGCCTTCTAGCTGTTTCGACTAAGGAATCTAGTCACTGGTTTAATGCTCTACCATCAAGTAATCTCGGCACATTGCTTGATGTTGAAAACTTGCGCATCGCCGTAGGAATCCGGCTAGGAGTGGCAATTTGTCAACCTCACCAGTGCCCCTGTGGTAGCAGCGTCGATGAGTTTGGGCTTCACGGACTTTCATGCAAGAAAAGTGCAGGTAGGTTTTCCCGTCACGGTTCTTTGAACGAAGTCATCCGAAGGTCTCTTGTCTCCATAAATATCCCCTCGGTTTTAGAGCCTCGCGGGATATTCAGGGACGATGGCAAGAGACCCGATGGTATGACTTTGGTCCCTTGGGAGAGAGGTAAAGCCCTAATGTTATATAGCCCTAGTGGTATATATATAGTGATATATAGTGAGGGATGCTACTTGCGTTGACACATTGGCGGCCTCTCATCACAAGGGTACCTCTTTAAAAGCCGGGGCGGCATCAGAGGCAGCCGAATTTAGTAAATGGCGCAAATATGAGTCTTTGAGAAGATGAATATATTTGTGCTATTTGCTGTAGAGACTATCGGTCGGTGGGGTCCACGTGCAGTGAAGTTCCTAAAGAAACTGTATCCACGACTGGACGTCGCTGCTGGTGATAAGAGGGCTGGTTCTTTCTTCGCTCTACCACTATACCACTATACACTATACCACTTCGGCACTATACCACGGGGTGCATGACTTTTTGACTATTTAAATTTTTAGTTCTAGTTTTTCTATATTATAGTATCTTTTTTATATTGTGTATTATCAGTATTAATTGTAAATATTATAATTTTAATTATTATTTTAGTTAAGTTTTGTATAAATATTAATAAATACCTACTATACCTATACCTATATTTAAAAAAAGTTTATGTATGGGTATATTGATTATTTTGTTTTATATTTATATACTGTGCAAGCTCGTATGTAAAACCTAGTTGTTTTCCAGTAGTTGTAATAAATCAATGCAAAATCCACTTCAGCATTGGTACAATGGGCTATTTCCGTGCGCTGTACCTGCGTCTATCTTATCCAAATAAAATTTACTAAATTACATACTGAAATAAAAACATTGATAGCACCTTTATTTCTGTATAACCCTGCAACGTCTACTTCAGGTGCTACTTTAATTTTCATTTCTATCTTTTACATTTCACCCACTTACTTCATATTTTTATCTCTGCATCATCCAAAGGTTGACTGATAAAGAATGCCTGAAACATTAAATCCGCTTTTATTTCATCTTTTATGAAGTTAAATTAATAAATAAAAACGAACTAATAATAACTAATCGGTGCTAGTACAGCAATAGTATAGTACTGTATCGATGAATTAAAGTTCTTTTGACTAGGCAATATCACAACTTCAAGCAACAACTAGAATGTTCACGACTTCAGCCCCTATTTTTTAAACCTTATAGTAGATTATTTTTAAATTTATATAGACCCTTCCTTGAGACAACCTATTTTACAAAAACAATCTGGTGGTTAAAATGTTTTTAAATAAAAAAGGAAAAAATATCACAAAATAAAAGACTGCGTAAAAAGTATGCCATCACCCTATGCCATCTCCACGATTAACGACAGCCTTTATGTTAAAATCCATTAAGCCACCTAGGCTACCTGCCTAATAAATAAACATACATACATACGAGTACAAACATATACTCGAGAAAAAGTATCCTCTTTCTGGGACAGTATGGTAAATTACATATAAAAATTCAGTCGAATTGAGAACGTCCTCCATTTTTGTTTTTGGTGTCGGCTAAAAATATGTACCTAATTATTTTTATTCATAAATTTTCTCTTTCTTTTTTGTAAGCAGTTTGACTGCTCGTCAAGATAACTCTCATTATTATAAAGGAATTGCCGTAATTACTATACTTGGCAGAATGATAAGAAATCACAGTATCAAATTCGAGTTGTAAAATATCGGTATGGGTAATTTACTCCAATATTTTTATTCATTCTTTCATTACAGTCAATCAAGAGTCCACTGCTTAACTAGGTCTCCCCCATAGATTACCTTATGTAGTGGATATTTGCTAGAATATTTTACATTCGTTCTTTCATTACAGTCAATCAAGAGTCCGCTGCTTAACTAGGTCTCCCCCGTAGATTACCTTATGTAGTGGATATTTGCTAGAATATTTTACATTCATTCTTTC